AAAATTTAAATAAAAAAAATAAATTGGTGAAAAAAAAAAAATGGGAATGGCAGCTGCAGAGGCTCAGTTTCATGTGTTGGCTGTGGATGATAGCTTGATTGATAGGAAATTGATTGAGAGGCTTCTTAAGACCTCTTCTTATCAAGGTATATATATTTAGTATTTACATTTATTTATTTATTTATTTATTTATTTAGTTGTTTTATTTTATTTTTTCCCACAAATAAAGTAATATTTATTTGTCTTTTTTTTTTTTGGTAATTTTTGTTAATTTTGATTGTTGCAGTTACCACAGTTGATTCTGGTAACAAAGCTTTAGAGTTTCTTGGTTGGTATAAAGATGAAAGTGGCAACTCAAATACTTTTGATTCCCCCAAAAATCATCAGGTATTTTTTATTTTTTATTTTTTTAATTTCCACTCTGCTTTTTTTTATTTTGTTTTATTTTTTTTATTGCTTATATAAATTTTATTTTATTTACAGGAGGTGGAAGTAAATCTTGTTATTACAGACTATTGCATGCCTGGGATGACAGGCTATGATTTGCTCAAGAAAATGAAGGTTATTTTTTTTTTCCATTTTTTTTCCTGTTCTGTTCTGTATTTTCTCCTCTGCATTATTATTATTATTATTATTATTGTTATTTTTGTAATGTTTAAAATAGGCAATTCTTGAATTCAGTAAATTACCTATCATTATATTGATTTAAGTAAATGCTACTATTTTAACAAAAAGATCATGAATTTTGCAAAAATTGTTTGGTTATTGACTTTATTATAAAGTAATGTTACTTACATATATATGGGGAAATGTTAATGTCTCAGTTATGGTATCATTCTGATTCCGTTGGAGTTTGTAACCGTTAAACCATTATGTAACCGTCGTCAGAGATAGTTGATCTAACAGTTATAAATACCGACGAAATGGATCTGTAACGGAACCATTGCATCTATTCAGAGTGTAATATATGAAGTCCCTTTTTTCTTTGACAATCAATATGTAGATCAACATGAATCTCTTGCAAATCTTTCTCCCCCACCCCACCTAATGTAGCATGACTTTGATGGGACATTTACTAATTTCCAAATATATAAATACTATTATTAATAATAACAAATGTGTAGACATGTTAAGTTTAATTTTAATGTTATTTTACTCTATGGTTAATTTATTATGCACCAACCTTGAAAATAAATTTTATTTCATATTCAATCTTCCTATCAAATTTTGACAGGAATCCACATTTCTTAGAGACATACCAGTTGTCATCATGTCATCTGAAAATGTTCCCTCAAGAATAAACAGGTAATTTTTTTAGGGTTCATTCAAAGTCGATTTCCCTAGTTATTTATTTTTTAGGAGTAAGACCCGAAAGATGGGTAAACTATCAATGCGGGGCCGAAAGATTTTTTTCTCAATTGAGGACTTAAATGTTATAAAACTATTAAATTAAATACCCGAAAGATGAGTAAACTATCAATGCGATTCCTGAAAGATTTTGTTTCTCAATTCGAGACTTAAATGTTATAAAACTATCAAATTAAGTCCAGAATTAACAAAACTCATAACACCATTAAATTTTTTAGGTGCTACAGTCCCGTTACGGAACCATTTCATCGGGATTTGTAACCGTTAGATCATCGTTTAACCGTCAGAATAGTTAATCTAATGGTTATAAACTCCGACGAAATGGTTCCGTAACGGGACTGTAGAATTTTCCTCGGTTACATGTGACCAAAAAGTTATTAATTTACTTTTTTTTATCTTTTATTCCATTGATCCAATGTTAAATTTTTATTTTTTTGTGAAGATGCTTAGAAGAAGGGGCAGAGGAGTTTTTTCTGAAGCCAGTGAGATTATCAGATGTGAATAAGCTGAGGCCCCACATGATGAAAGCCAAAAGCTGCAAGGATATTATTATTCAAAAGCCTGAAAATGAGGAAGAAAAGCTAGAGAATAATAAAGTATCATCATCTCAGACCAAATTAGAGTCACCAACAAAAATGATGCCACACTCCAATAATAATAATAATAATAATAATAATAATAATAATAGCAAGAAGAGGAAATCCATGGATGATGATGGGCCTTCACCAGACAAGGCCAGGCCCAGATACAACAACAATGGCTGCACTGTCATGTCCAATTAACCACTCCCAAAAAAATAAAGTTTTAATCTTTTTTTTTTTTTTTTTGTTTGTAGTAATTTTGGTTCCTAATTTGAAACTTGTTTTGTAGCAGCTTTTATATATGTACAGAGGGGATTAAGAAAACTTGAGGGAATTTTAGGGGTTTTCTTTTGTATCATTTCATGGTGGACTTGAAGAAGAAGAAGTATTGTACACAATTTTAAAGGTTTTAGACCTAATTTTGTATTTTACTAAATTTGAGGAAATTATATGATGAAAAAAAAATATATATATTAGAAAATGGTTTATAATTTGTTGATATTTTTAGATTCCATGTGAACAAATCTAGTTAATTTTTCTTGATGTGTTAGCTGCCTGTAAATTTAGCTGTCTGAAAGCATTAACAAATTTGCAGCACATGGCATGTGCTTCAAAGAACCTTCATTGTCTTCTCAAGTTGTTTGTTTTTAAAATTGTAAGTGCAAATTATTTGAACCCCTTTTCCCATATTTTTTTGTCAGCCACGAAATTTGGAGCTTTCTCCTGTTTTCCATTTTTTTTTGTAGTCAGCCACGATATCGGGAGCTTTCTCCCGATTAATCCGTTGGTCGAATCAAGTCGCACACCTGACAATGGTGGGTGAGCCTTCCAACAAGGGTTTTCTGTATTCACAAGGACTCGAACCGAGACCTTGTTTAAGCAACATCAAGTTGTTTATCACTTTGACCAACCATTTTCCCATCTTTGTTAGAACATAAAACATGGTTATCGTTAAAAAAATAAAAGAAATTATATATATTTTGGTGTAATTAGGCCAAACCCTAAGGGTGATTAATTGCAAATTGTTGTTATTAACAAATTAATTAACCCTTAATATTTTTTGACAACATTGGTCAAAGATATATAATGTGATGATGCTGAAAAATAATTAATTATACTGTGTAATTTTCATTGGTCAAAATTGACTCACGAGTGTGCAGAGGAGATGTGAACAAGAAGAAATGTGACATTTTATTTATTTTTTATTTTTTATTTTTTATTTTTTGGTCTCCCACCTAACAGGAAAAATAGTACGACGTACATAGCACTTTCTTGGAGGTAACTAGGTATATGCTTTTATTATTATTATTATTATTATTTTTATTATAGGTTTTAAATATGATGGTTTATATTTGTTCACAAACCTAACATTTTATGTTTGAAAACAACTTAAGGGCTCGATTGTTTACAAAATAATTTGTCTAAAATGAGTTATTTTGGCTAATCGAAGTTAATTTTTTAAAATGTGGTATGATTAGTTGAATTTTAAAAATGTATTAAAATAATATTTAAAATTAGATGATTAAATTTGATTTGATTTAGAAGTGAAGATAAATGATTGGAAATCCTGCGAGATAATAAATTTCGTATAGCTCAGAAAGAAAAATCTCTCATGTGGTTCGGCACGCAACAAGATCTCTTCTCGCAATTGTTCGTACGGATTGATCTTCCTACTGTCACTGGTTTTGACATGTAGTTAAAATTATGTGAGTGAATGAATATTGAATTAAAGTCGATGTGATGTTTAAGAATGATTGAGTTGTATTATTTAACTAGTACAACGCTCGTGTGTTATACGGGTGCTTGCTAATTTTTTCCTTGAAATTTAAAATTAATGAGAAAAAATAGTTGAAAATTTAAATATCTTTTATAAAAATATATATATTATTATATATTTAGTATGACACTTTTTATTTGTGTGACTTATGTTATATTATAATAATTTTTTTAACTTACAACACATAACTACATTAAACATAAATATATAAACTGAGAAATAATTTTGTTTTTCTGATAAATTTTAATAAATATTATTAATTTTTATTATTATAAAGGTAAATATAATTTATTTATTTTATATATACAATATGGATGTCAAATCGAAGTTCATGAAAAGATTATTAATTCTAATATATTATATATGTAAAACCGATAATAAATACAAAAGTTATCAACTTTTAAAATACATTTATAATTCAGTAGCTAATTGAAGGAAACAAATCAAAAGTCAAGGATATATTAGTCACTTAATGTCTCACTGTGTAAAATTATAAAGAATTAAAGAGTTATATTAGTACAAGTGAAATTAAAATACCTAAGTTAGCTAAATAATATTTATGAAATGTCCGAACCTAGATTATTAATTATTAATATATCAATGTTATTTGTCCAAACCTAATTACGAAACATGATTCTTCGCCAAGTAGGACTCCGAAGCAACAGAAGCAGCCACCTAGGCCAGCGCAATCGGAAATTATATATAGGGGGATTATATGAATAATATTAAAAATAGTGGAGTTGATTAAAGCTGAGTTAGCTTTTAAGTATGAATTAAATGTGAGTGAAATAATTTATAAACGAGCGAGCCCTAAGTTTTAGTTTATTAAATGAGACGATTCGAGACCAGCTTTTATAAGCTTAAACGAGTAGTTTTCTATGTTGACCGCGCGTCGCGACGCGGCAAATTTAAATTTATAAAGTTTTCCTCAACTAACCTCTACTAACTAGTAGTAGTGACGAGCAATGGTCGATCCCACGAGGTGCAGGAATTAAATTGTGATAATTTTGTATTAATTGAACTAACTAAGAAAGCAAATAAAGATGGGGGGATTGATTTTATAAAAATAAAAATAAATAAATAAAAAAATCAAATCAAATAAGAGAAGTCCAGTTTTCGGTTCAGTTATCACCCAATCTAAATCTACCATTAATCAATTTCGACGTCTTCTTTAAATTGCTAATGAATTACCGACCCTAGCTAACAACAAGCTCTGTTAACCGTATTTTCCCTTACTGAAAATTTAATCGAAATATGCTCTTCGACTAAACCTAACTAGTGGACAACCTAGAATAAGCTCTCTAGATTTAATACACCAGCAACATTAATCTCTAGGAAAATAGATCAGTCTAAGCAATGGACGCACAAGCTCGGACCATTTAACTTATGTTTACGCTACCCTAGAGATGCACGACCCCTAGTTTATTACTAATGAAACGAGACAATAACTATTACGGATTAAAGTCTCGAATCTAGCAATTAAACTATGAATATTAAACCTAGATGGCCAAATTAAATCAAACACCATAATTTATAAACATTAAACATAGATAACGTGAATCAACTCATCAACAAAATAAATACGACGTCTCGATTAATCAACGATAAATTCAAATCCTTAAATTCATAGACAAATTCAAGTTAGGGTTCAACATCCCCTCAAACTGGATAAAAACTACTAGCCTAACATACTAATAAAAATAAATAAAAGATAGATAAAAGAGAGAAAATATAATCTCCCTCGTATGCGGGTTG